CCTGCTATCCCTGCATCCCTTCTTTATTCTGCCCCCAACTCTGACTGGGCTCAGGCCACTCTGCCTTCTTCTCTTACTAAACCCGTCAAGCCGCCAGTCCTAACAGAGAGACCCATGGAAGGTAAGAGTCAAAGGAGAGAGAATGGGACTTAGCAAGCAGATGAGTTTATTTCACTTAATGATTAGTAAATGCCCAAGAGGATGATCTGTTTCCCTCAAATCACAGTTCTCTTCCCATTCAGGAAACGAATGTCTAATATTTTCTCAGTCTCATGACATGAAGCTCCCTCACAGTATTCAATTTTTCTGTTTTTGGGTCGTTCATAATCCTTACTGGCCCAGCTGGGGACTATGACTTTGGCCAACCCATGGTGCATAAATCCTCACAGCCCAGGCTTCTCGATCTTTCTCAAAATTCCCTAGCTCCCGGGGAAATGGGAATAACGAGAGCTGACATCAGGGATGCTCATGTTATGTGGGTCCTTGGGAAGACCATGTAGCTGCTTCCTGTCCATGTTCTACAGCAGGCCCGGTGTGGTTTGGTGCCCCCAGGACCTTGGCAGAGACTGGGTGGGCTGGGCCTTCCCTTCATACCTCTGTATTCATGTACCACGTGTCTCTGTGGTCTCTTTGAGAGGCGACCAGTGACCCTTCCAAACACAAGTTAGGGCACTGCCTCCTCAAACCCCTGTGAGGCTTCCCCAGCACCTACGATGGGAGTGAGTGCTCCAGGGTTCACCAAGCCACTTTCTGTGGCCTGAGCACTTTCCCTCTGCCCTCCATTGGGACCAATAGTGAAGGAGTTAATAACATGGACTTGGAAGTTAATAATATGGGTTCAACTCTTCCTCATTAGCTATGACTTCCTGGATTTTACTAGACCTTACAGCTGTGACTCAGCTTCTCCATCTATAAGGGGGGGGGGTAATTCCTCCTTCTGGAGCTGTAGTTGGGATTCAGCGAGTTCACAAGCATGATGCTCTTGGAAGGATGAGTGGCACCGGGTAAACAATGCATAGGGTAGGTAATATCATCTATAGAGAGTTCTCCTCCTCACTCAGGATCTGGTTAAATGGAACCTTCTTCACACACACACACACACACACACACACACAGGCACACACACACACACACACACACACAGGCTCAGAGGTGACATCAGCTCTATGTTCTTGGGGCCCATGCTGGTAGCTATCCAAACTGCTCCTCCTCTATTTTGCTGTATAGGCTGATCTGTCTCCTCCATGAAACTAGCGTTTTCAGGTGGACACCAACCTTAATCCATCTTCCTTTGCACCTCATAGACCCTCCACACACCTGAATGCATCAGGCTTTCACTGAGCACCGGCAGGATGGAAACAAATCTGAGAAAAGGCTAGAAGCAGTCGGCCAGAATGCACAGCCTGGGTGGGTTCCATCTGAGGACAGGGCATGAGAGTCCAAACAGGGCCTCTATCCGCTCACATGAGAAGTATTCTCAGCATAAGAAGCATCTGAGAAGAAGGACAGGGAAGAACTGCCTGTGGCTGTAACCTGGGCACGGGGGTTGGGAATCTGTGAAGCCGCTGCAGCTGTAGGCAAAATAGTGCCCAGTGTCCCTCTTTCTCCCTGGGGAGACCTGCTGGAGGGTTTTCATTGGCTCTTCAGTGGGGCTTGTGAGACCCTCAAATTAAGAGCCCTTGACTTAGTTATTTAGACACAAAGTTCTTGCCTGGGAGGCCTTACAATTGAAGAATCCCAGCTATCCTTACAGGCACAGCCCACCAGCCAGGAGGTCTGAGGAGCCGTGGGTGCTTGGCGTGTGCAGGAAAGCCAGAGCAGCTCCTAAAATCCGTCCATGTGGAGAGACCAGCAAGGACGGGGAGTACCAGGATTCCGGGAACCTCAATGGCCCTCTCTCCCGGGGGCTGTGAAGCTAAAGGTCGCCTGTGATGACACAGGAACCCCTGGCTGGGAGCACAGACATTGGCCATTTGGCACAGTCTGACTGTGAGAGTTGTTTTCTGTCAGGACGACTCAAAAACATCCTGTCTGATCCAGACACACAAACAAGGCTGTTCACCTACTGATGGCGGAGAGCAATAAATGACCCTTAAAAATCAGGGTGGGTCTGATACCAGGGCAAAGGGAGACGGAGACCCATGAGTGCGGAGGCCCAGCCAGGGGCCTGTTTTACTTGCAGGAGCCACGGGGGTGAATTAAATCCCACCCTCACCCATCTGGACTCTGTGGCTTCTCCTGGAGTTACTGCTGTCCTGGCCCGTCGGCCCCTGAAACCTGCCCACACGCAGGAATTCTGCTCAGACGGCACGCCCCCAAAAAGCCCATGGCATGTCAAAAAGCCCACTTCAGTACGCCCTTCGCTTCCTGAATGGGGTTTTCAAGATCATAAGGAACAGGACCTGGAAGTCCTGTCTTTTATAAAATAGAAAGGGAGACTTTAGAGAGATTGGGGGGTGAGAGAGGGAGGGGGGACTGGCTGCATGAGTCCCTGTTTCTCTCAATCAACAAGAGGGATGTAGTGACCACAGGCCCTGGCAGCCAGGCCCAGATACCCCAACCCGAGCAAGCCTGTGGTCTCCATGCCCACAGAGTGATGAGAAACAGAGAGGGGTTAGCATCTGTCCTTGCCCCTCAGCAGGGTCAGGAGAGCACCTGGCACTCACACGTAATGGACGGGTGAGACTTTCTGGCTGGTCATGGGACAGCCCGTTCCAGGACCAGCGTGGCAGTGGGGATCAGCACCGGGTGACAGGAGCCCTGACACCTGCACCGGACACGTGAGCTCTGCACCGTGGCGAGCCTCCGCTCACGCCTGCCCACGGTGAGCAGCCCCGACACAGCGCAGAACAGACAGCGCTGGCCGGGGCTGACTGCCTCCCTCGGCCCCTCGCCGACAGGCAATGAAAGCAAGCCCCACTTTGAAAATCCTCCCCCATCATGCAAACTGACATAGGCATGCTTTTCAAAAACCCACAGCCAATCTGTTGATCATTACTTATTTACAAAGGCCTTCGGGCAGAAAGTCCTGTAAAAACCGTACTTGATCCGGTATACACTGGCTTTTTCTACTGGTGGAAGAAAAGTCCCCTCCAGGCTACCTCAAGCCATCACTTTCTATTGCACATAAAATGTAGCGTGGAACACTAAAGTATTTAATATATATGGTATAATATATCTACAGGAAAGGCATTTGTGTAGAAATATGTTACCCTGGATTTGGTAATTTCATGTTTTGCTGAAGGCTACGACTTAAAAAAGCTTCCACGCCGTACAGAGGGCCTGTCATCTCGGCACCCAAGAGCCAGCAGAATAAAGAAGGACCCTTAAGCAGCAAAACTTTGACACAGCTTTGAAGCATATGAAAACAGTATAACTCCTCAGAATTATTATTACTCGAGATCAAAGAAATAAGCCGTCCTTTACATAGCAAACAGGGACAGGGAATTTGGCTCCAAAGGTTTCAGATTTTTCAGACACTTCTCTTCATTTATTTATTATTTGCTTCTCTAAATTTAGGCACGAGAGAACGCCTGGGCTTTTCTCTACGTTAAATGGATAAAACTATTAGCATTAGATAAGGCGATTACCTACAGATGAGGGACTGGGAAAGGATGCTAGCAGGACGTCTGGCTTCACAATGAGAAGCTTGGCGGTTGGCGCATTTCATTCCTCCTCATAAACTGCAAACCAACGTGTAGATCAGTAAGACCCCAGCAAGACTGAGCAGAGGGAAGGGCAGAGGACCCGTGAGGAAACATCTCACAGGAAGAGATGGTGGCAATGGGCCAGTGAGTACCCCATGGGACCTTGTGTCCTCAAGGGCATGGAGGAGACTGCCCATCTCAGTCCCAGAAAGGTGCTTGGGGAGGGCCAGGAAGATGTGAATGTGGTGGATAAGGGGGCAGGGGAGGGGGGTGAGGAGAGAAAAATCACCATCTGTCCAATAACCAAAGAGAGAAGAGTGCTCCAGGCAAATGAAAAGAAGAAAGTATTGTAGCAATGGTGGGTATCCATGATGTGACCACTTAGGGAGAGCAGTGCCAGTGGGAGATCACCCTGCTGCTCTGAGAGGTGAGAGAGCGAGGGCATTGAGGGCAATAAGCACTGAGATTGGCAGATGAAGACAAAAAAGAAAGGATAAAAGACAGAGGCCAAGATGAGGAACAGGCTGAAATTTGATTTTACTTTCTATTTCCATAGTCAAGATAGGAAGAAAGCAAGGGGAGGGGAGGGGAGAAGAGGAAAGGGGAGGAAAGGAAAGGGGAGGAGAGGGAAGAGAAAGGAGAGAGAGGAACAGAAGGGATGGGGGGGGGAAATAGGGAAAGAGGGGAGAGAGAGAGAGAGAGAGAGAGAGAGAGAGAGAGAGAGAGAGAAAGCATACACTGTATTTCATAATTAATACTGCTTTTGGTCTGAGCTGAACAGGATTACTTTTGAACTTTGCTTTGGCAAGTCCACAGATTATTGGACTTTTTTTTTTATCAGTCAAAATCAATTAACAGAAATTTGATTCCAGGCGACAGGATGAAAGGGGGGTAATCTTCAGGTTCCTTTTTGATTGTGATGATACATCGCACATATGGCCCTCAGTACAGACAGCCTCCTCCCAGGGCCCCCAGCAGAAAGGCTAGCCGGAGGCGAGCTGGCCCACACGTTCCCCGATTGGTTGCCGCCGTCATTAGTGCCACTGCTGGTTAGGAGCAACATGTGGACAGGACCTGGTGACAGCTCCGCCTTTAGAGCCTGTGTATTTTTCAAACAGCTTTTCCAACTGTTTTTCATGACAGGGTTTTTTCAGCTCTATCATTAACTGCTGACAAGCTGACGGAATAAATATTCCAGCCTTTGAGAAGCCATCTCAGACCCCATCCCTCCCTGGCTCCGGCCTGCTGTGAAGGGCCGCACTGGGCCTGGGCTGGTGGGGAGCTGATGAGAAAGGGAGGGGAGGAGCTAGAGGGAACACCCCCGCCCCCCAGGCCTGGGGTCCCTCTCCTTACCTCATCAGCTTGGGCGAGGAGCCGGGGGAGTTCCGCATGCCTCCATTCCGCTGCTTTTTTTTGGGTGACAGCGTCGAGGGCTGCTCATCTTCAACTAGAAATACAGGCAGCTCATGAGATTACGGACAGGGCGAGGGCAGACTGTGCAACACAGGCAAGGTAGCAAAGGACACACACACGCACAGCTCAGTCACGCACTAGGAATTGGGGCTGCCTTTTCGACCCAGTGACAGAGACCCCCGTGTTAGTCCGAGAAGCCAGCATAGAGGGGGCGAGAGCCACCTCCTTACACGCCAGTGTTTGAACATGCACTTGAAACAGACTACAACCGTTTGTACGCACCCTGCCATAAAAAAAGAAAAAAAAGAAAGGAAGTTGTGATTTACCCGCATACAAAATACAGTGCTTTCGACGGGGGTACACAATCATTACTCTCAAGAGGTCCTTTTGGGTACTTTGCTTTGCTGGGTAATCGAATGGGTTTTCTTGCAACCAAAATCCGAAACCCGCTCAGCCCTGGTGCCTCCACTGCCCCAAAAGGGGGGATGCACACATGGAAAACTTTCCTAATCTATCAGGACAGTTGGGACCGGGCTGCAAGGTTGGAGAGCCGGGGAGGAGAAGGGCCCCCAAACCAAGGAGGAGGTTGCCGTTGAATGATGTCTCTGATGACGTGGTGAGGGGCAGGGAAGGAGGGAGCACAGGGGTTTGGAAACCAAAGGCTGTTTCCCGAATGTCTAAGCAACACAGAGCGCGAAGCAATGTGAAGCCTGGCTCACACACAACACAGCACACTCCGCTGCCTTTGCCCAAAGACACCCGCTCACAAGCTTTGCAGAGGTATCAGCCTGCACCATGCTTCTTTTTAGGAGAGTTGCCTGATAAATTAGCAGATGCACACCCGGCCCGGCCCCCAAGGGCATCGGCGGGAAAATCCTAGTCCCCCTCTCTCCACCCCCACAATCCAGGCTCAAGCTGTAACGGCAAGAAGGAAAAGTAGGATCCTCGAAGTTTGCATAGTTGACTGCACCACAGAGGGGGGAGGAAGCACCCCGAAACCCGGAGTGCACAGCAGTTACCTTAAAGCTAAGAAGAGAAATATTAGCAGGGATGACATGGAAAGATGCGTGGCGTATGTTAATGGCATACAAGTCATGGGGTGGAAAGAAACTGTCACCTCTGCTACTTGATCTTACCCAGAAAGACCCATCTCAGCACATGCATTACATGGCACTTCCCTGAAGACCCCGAGTACATTTAGCGTGTCATGTAGGACACATGGTTCCATAAGAGATTACGGTCATTCAACGACCTTCTGGACCTGCCTCAAGGTATCCCACTTGGCACCCCGTCCCCATTCCACTGCCAGCCTAAGGTTGTCTAACTTCTGGCTGACACAGAGTAAGGGAACAAGAACGTGGTTCAAACTGAGAGCTACTCCAGAAGAAAAGCAGGCAAGGAAGCACCTGTAAATGCCCACAGAACCGCTCGCTCTGTCCCCCGCCCCATCCCCCCGGAGGCCCGTGCTCAGGCTGCGACCATATCAGTCACTTAGGGCCCCAGGCTGGGAGGATATCGCATCTTATCGGAAATGAGTATCCACAGCAAATCACACCGAGACTAAACAGCACTTAAAAGATTAAAGGGAAGAAATACCAGCCACATAAATGGTATAGAAAAAAATCACTTAGGGTTGATATGCATCTCTCGGCGAGCAAACAGGCACTCTGAGCTTGACCTGAATTCATCTTGCTTTCACAAGACAGGGCCAGGCATCCCAGGCAATAATGGGGCAGAAAGGCAAGGAAACAGATAGAAAGAGAGAATGTGTGCTTGGGGGGGTGGGGGCTGTTGGGGGAGATACAGAAAGTCGTACATGGACTCCACTGGAAATACAAGGTCACCCTTTAACGTGGACCACTTATGGGGGACCTAGATTAGTAGAGTGCATGCCAGACTAAATAACGTGTGTGCGTGGCCTTCAGACTCCTGGGGATGAAAGTTCTTTCCTTCTCTATCACATGAGCCTTTCAATGGTTCAAATGAAATATCGAACCAAGATAACCGTAGTCCACTATGGCTAACTTGACTCAAAGCCGCCAGAGGTTGCCATGGTTTTGTCCATATTGGTTGCGACCTGAACAGAAGTTACACTCGCTGGCATTTCTGTGGGATTCTTTTGCTTAATGTTTGTCTTCCCGGTTGCACTGGGCCCACAACCAATAGCCCTCTTTGGTGAAGAGCCCATTCTCCTGGCACCTTGTCACTGTCTGTTTACCTGCAGTGATGCTCAGAGGGAAGGAAGACTTGCAAGTTGATACCTGTTAGCTAGCTCCGGGGAGAAACCCCGTTCTGCTGCTAACGTTATGCCTCCTTCCATGCAAGGACACTATTTATTTTCATTGCAAGTCAGAAAGATCATTCTGTAAGTTTCTTCCTTACAGTGTCAAGTATAAGCAAACATGTTAAGATATCATTCAAAGCTGTCATTCTAGTTCACGTTAAAGCTGGTTTTCAACTTTTCCAATGAAGAACTGCACGAAGGATTAGGTCAGCAGAGAGATGCCATTTAAAATGGGGTTTGTTCTCTTCAATGAAGCCCGTGTTCAGAGGTTTTCTCCTGCGCTCACGGCCTGGAAAGGCAGACCCGCTCCTTGAAGAGACGGGGAAAGGTCCCCAGCTTAAACACGAGCGCCGTGCAACCAAGACTGTTACCGATGGCTTAGATCCCACCAGAGCAGCAGTGACCCCTTCTTTCTCGTAAGCAGGGTATAAACCATATTTAATTGCTATCTTTGACTGCTGGTATCTGCATATTTAAAGAAAGCAAATCTAGGAAAACTTTCAGGTAAGCTATAAAATAAAATGCTCATTTCATGGCTTCCATGACTCCATGAGAGGAATACACATGGATTTAAAGGGAGACTGAAATTTACATACTTTTAAGAAAGGCACGTGGATTCACCTCCTGCCAACATACATTCCCAGGCGCCTGGTTAGCCTGCTTTCTGTTTAATTATGGGACACCTCAGTCTTCGGCTCTCCCTGCTTCAAGCTGTGGAAGCCTCATGAAGATATGATCTGTGAAAGGAGCCTGAGTTACCAGCTCCTTTAAAGCACAAACAAGTTGAGGAATCCAAGGTGGAATTTTTATAAGGGCCGAACTCCCTCCAGTCTCCGCGTCCCCGTAAAATCCGAGGGCTCGTTTGTGCACATCCCTACGTATCACACTTAATGTCCTGCCGTAACTTCCCAGCGCCCGCCCGTCTAACGGGCCCTGCCTCCAACAGTTTTACAGCCGGGAAGACTCAGTGCTAGAAAAATGTCAGGCAAGTCTAATGAGGCCAGGATCCCTCGGTTGGTGCTAGACTTTAATTTAAAGTTACAACGATGTCTTAACATGTTTGCTTATACTTGACTAAAGAGGATTCATTATTTCGGTGACATAACCTCCAGACAACGTTCTGGGGATTGATTGAGGATGTGGCGGTAATTCCAACAGCCTTAACACAGAGTAGAACATCTGTAACAACATTTTGCTCGACTTTCCGTCGTCATTCTGTTTTTTTTCAAGCAAAAAAGCAAGGCAGTCTCTTCCAGAAACACTGGCCAGGACTCTGGGCTTAGTTCAAAATGATCATATATTTTACTGGATTTTTTTTTTTTTTTTTTTTTTTTTAAGAAATCCCTTTCTTTATTGGCCTAGCCAGCTTGCAAACAGTGTATCAAGGTTCACCGATGCCTTTGTGGGCCCTTTGAGTCAAATGGGCAATGATTTCAACTTTCAGCTTCCCCCAATATTGGGGCCCCCAATATACGATGAACCCTTTGCTCAGCTCCAGCCTGAGGCACATTCCTTCTTCCCTGTTTCCTCAACAGGGTTTGGGGGGATGATGCCCTCTGAGACTTAAAGGTGAGTTTGTTGGCTGGAGTTAAGAAACAGTTCAAAGCAAATAAACTCAGAAATGTAATAAAAGGCAAAGGACCCATAAACATGAGTTGACTGGCTATCTCCACATTACATTATTAGTTACCACATCTGGAGAAACCCACATCTGCACACACTTAGCAGGTCATTAGTAATGTCATATTCACACTGGAATCACTCAGAGTAAGAGGCATGCAGAGTGGCTTGAACGTAAAAGACATCTAGCTAACAGGGCTCCTGACTGAAATCTTGAGCGAGCTGTGAGTTGGCGGGAGGGTAGTTTTAATTATTATTTATTGTTCTTTATGGCTTTTTTCTCTTTGGTATTTTGCTGCCCAGAACGCTCAATGCATGCTGAGATCCACGGCACTGCATCTTTCTTCTTCAACTGAGCTCAGCATGCTAAGAGGAAGCATGAGGGGTGCAGGGCAGTTGCTAACACATTGGGGTGGGTTCCAGGCTCCTTCACCTGGCTTGGTCACAAGCTGAGAATTGTGAGTTGTGTTCTTGCTCTCAAATGGGTCTTTGGGGTGGCGCGATCTAGCTTCCGCCTTGACTGCCAAACAATAACGAGAGAAAAAAACGGAAATTAATCCTTCGTGCAGTTCTTCATTGGAAAAGTTGAAAACCAGCTTTAACGTGAACTAGAATGACAGCTTTGAATTAAAATGCAAGTTTCTTCCTTACAGCTACATTGAGAGTTTTCTTTACTTTTACCCTGGTGACTTCTGGAAATTCTTTTTGCTGTGTTATTGTCATTGGTGTCAGAAGGGATAACGTATCAGAAGATAATCTTATTTGTGCAATAAATTCCAAGGGCATGGAGTTCCCCCTGCCTTCCGAATACACAGACTTGGAAAACTTAGGTCAGCAGAGAGATGCCAGCCCTCTCTCCGGAAGCCTGCTAAAATGCACCCCCTGACCGATCATTACATTCTGAGTCATCAGCCACAAGGTTAGACTATGGTTTTCATCTTGGCCAGGCCCTTGGTTGCAATATCGCTGCCTACCTTGCATTAAATGCGAGGGGTTTGCTAGTCCTAGGAAAGGGGGAGGGGGGTGTCCTTTATCCTTGTGTCATGAGGGACATCGCTGTAGAGTGGGTGTGTGCTTTCAGTCTTTCAGGAGGTGAATGAGGGTACAATGAGGGCAAAACTGCTGGCCTA